GAGCCAGGCTGCCTGCCAGGCGAGCTTCAGGGCAGCCAGAGCACTGCCCAGCACTGTCCAGCCAGAAATGGCCATGGCAGATGTAACATGGGACAGTGACAGCTGCACTGCGCTGGCCCTGTTCTTAGAAGCGCGGGGCAGGCTCCACCCCAGCGCAATGTGACGTGAAATGCAAGTGCGCTGCCCTCTGAGGGTCACACAGAACACCCCGGCTCTACGTGAGCACCCGCCGAGCAGTGTGCAGAGCAACCCTCCCGCCTGCAAGGCGTTTGCTCTCACCCAAAAGGCCGGAGGAGAAACCAATGGGAATGTGGCCTTTGGACCACTTTGAACCAGTAGAAATTCTGAGTGCATTTCTACTTCCTAATGCAAGCAAACCCAGAGAGAGAAGAGGAAGATGCCTCTGTGATTTGAGGTATCAGAACCTGCTAGGCTGGTCAGTGTCCAGGGTGCAGACAGGGACTCCTCAGATCTGCCTCCCACCAAAGTGGACCTGCAGGGGCCACTGAGGCCTGGGCAGTGTTGGGCCTGGCTGAGCTCTAAGGAATGGCTGAATGTGAGAACCTGGGCTCAGGCCAACCCGCTGACCCGAGGTCATGAGCAAAAAAATGGGGGCGGTTTTAAACTCCACACAGTGGGAACAGTGGACCACAGTGGACCAGTGGTGTGGCAGCCACCAGGCATGGCCACAGAGGCTCCTCAGCCACGGGTCCCGCGTACTGATCAGTGCCGGGTGGTCAGGTGTAAGCCCCGCCTCCGCCCCAACTTCTCAAGGCAGAAAGACCAGGTGAGTAGTTCCTACACCCGCATGCCCATCGGGCTCCCATCTCCCATCCCTCCCCACCCATGCCGGCTGCAGACCTTCCCTCAGGCCACGGGAGAGCTCCCCTTCATAATGGCCCCCGGCTTTGTACTTCATGATGCCGCGTCCTTGAGGCTCTCCCAAAACAAAGTGTCCGGAATAGCTATTTCCTGGGTGTAGATGAGGAGAGAGTCAGTTCTGGTCCTGTCCCCGGGTGTGGGAGGCACTGCTTTGGAATGGACATCTGTCTCTCAGTCCCGCTCTGTAGTGTGGTACTCTCTAGTGAGGCAAGCACATGGCCAGCAGACTGTCCCGGGGGACCCTCTCCAAGGGCACCCATGGGGCCTGACTGGGTGAAGGTTAAGTCTTCGCCCCAGGCTCTCTAAAAACAACGCAACACTGAGCCTGAGAGACAAGCTCTGCTGAGCATGGACCCTCTGCTGGCCCTGTGGTCTGAGGACACGGTGTGGCTGGAGTGTCTGTAAAGAAAAGGAAACTGTCCTTTGGGGTTATGCATTTTTATTTTAACACTGTGTGTGGGGAGAGAGCTGAGAAGTTTGTAGAGGTGAGTGCCAGACCCCACCCAGGGATCCCCAGAACACCCCAGGCCTGGGCCAGGTCCTTCCTGGGCATGAAGGGTACACAAGTTGTGGGGCCAGGCACAGCTGTGCCCTGCTGGCACGTGGCCATTCTGTCCTTATCCCTCACTGTGAGGAGAGCCTGATGCCCTTGTTTCTCTAGTGTCTTCTGTGACCAGCGCAGGGAACGACTTACACCCACATCCAGTGCTAACCTGACCAGGCCCAGTGCTGGTAGCCTTCCCCTGTGATCTCTCCATCCACAAACTCGCCTTCATAATATCCTCCATCTTTAAACAGCAACTTCCCGTGACCTGGTGAGAGAAATTAGCATCAAGTCTGATGGCCCATGGGAGTGGAGCTGATCAGCCCCACACCTTGGCTGATTTCCAGATTAAAAAAAAAAATATTGCAGTTTGAACTCAGGGCCTGTGCTCTCTAGGCAGGAACTGTATTGCTGAGCCATGCATTCAGGGCTTTTTTGTACTGGTTATTTTTGAGGATCTTGCTTCGTACTTAGGCACATGACTGAGTACCATCTCCCTATTTTTGCTTCTCTTCCTTCTATAGCTGGTGCAACAGGTGTGTACTACCACCAGCTCTTTCTGTCAAGATAGGACTTGTGGACTTTTCTGCCTGGAACTGGCCTGCAATTCCTGAGAACCTCACATGTGGCTAGGGTGAAGGGCGTGTCCACCACACTCAGGAGTCTCATGTATATCCTTGGGATGGCCTCAAAGTGCAGTCTTCTCAATCTCAGCCTCCCAAGTAGCTAGGATTGTAGGTTTTAGCATCTGGAACCGAGCATGTGTGCGTGTGTGCTGGTACTAGGGCTTGAACTCAGGACCTTGTGCTCTTGCTTGCCTTTTTTTGCTCAAGGATGGTGCTCTACCACTTGATCCATAGCTCTACTGCCAATTTTTTTTCCTGGTTAATTGGAGATAAGACTCTCATAGACTACCTAGGCTGGCTTTGAACTGTACTTTTCAAATCCTATTCTCCTGAGTAGCTAGAAGGATTACAGGTGTGACACTGGGTGCTCAGTGGCACCCAGCACTTGGTGGATTTATAGCTCAGAGAAGACTTCAGTTGCCCTGGGGCACATGCTTAAAATCTTAGCTAATGGGGAGGCTAAAGCTGGAAGATCTCAAGCTCAAGCCCAGCCTAGGCAACATATAGAAATCTGTCTAAGACAACAAAAGAGGCATGAAGAATACAGATGAGACATGAATCATTTGCTCTGTGAACGTTAGAGAAAAGTCTGAAAAAGACATTGTAAAAAAGTGTGCAATTCTTTACATGGTTCTGACAAATCTTTTTTTATTTTTTTTTGGTCCAGTTGTAGGGCCTGAACTCTGGGCCTGGGCACTGTCCCTCAGCTCTTCAGCTCAAGGCTAGCGCTCTACCACTTGAGCCACAGCGCCACTTCCGGCTTTTTTCTTTTTGCTTATGTGGTGCTAAGGAATTGAACCCAGCGCCTCAGGCATGCAAGGCAAGCAGCCCTCTGACAAATCTTATATCTGAGCCTCCCTGTCTGCATGAAAGAAGAAAATCCTTGACATTGGCATAAGAATAAGAAGCATCTGGGGCTGGCAAGCTGGCTCAATGGTAGAGTGCTTGCCTTGCATTCATGAGACCCTGGGTTCAATTCCTCAGCACCATGTAAATAGAAAAAGTGGAAAGTGGTGCTGTGGCTTCAAGTGATAGAGCGCTAGCCTTGAGCTGAAGAGCTGAGGGATGGCACCCAGGACCAGAGTTCAGGCCCCACAACCAAAAAAAAAAAAAAAAAAGAAACATCTGTATGGCAAAAACACTATAAACTAAATGGATACGAAAAGCCAACTGTGCAGTGGAAAATGGGTGACACTGAGCAGGAAGGGTCCACGAACACACGTAAATCCACTGAGCACAGACACTGAGATATTCATAGTACTTGCTTGTCCTGTGGGGTGGGGCAGAATTGGAGGCGAAATGCCTCCTGAAATAGGGGATGTTTATATATCTTTCCTCTATGGATTGGATTTTCTACAAAAGCAGGCGATTTTTTAAAATAATCAGGAACAAACCATTTATGTGACATGCTGGGGTTGGGGGCAGCATGTGCTTGCTCTGGACACAGTGGCTCTGCCCAGCCTTGCTGCCCAGATGGGGCAGCACCAGTGTGTAGCAGCAGGCTCTAAAGCTACAGGAGATGGTGTATGAGCTGCAAGTGGGTGTCAGCACGAACCTGGAGCAGGGTGGCCCTGGTGCCTGGGTGCAGTTCTCAGTCAGGCCTGGCATGGGGCGTTTCCTGCACCCAAGTTCCCCAGAAAGGTGACTATGTGAGCTGCCAGGGGCAGCTTCAGGGATAGACCACTGAGGCTTCTTACCGTGTTTCTTCCCTCCTTTCCATTCACCTTCATATCGGAAGAAAGAGTTTGGGTATTCATAGACACCATAACCTAGATATTGAAAACATGAGCAAGAGTGACCACCTGACACCATGGCTTCACTGACACCAACAGACACCAGGAGGTGAGGTGGCTCGGAGCTCCGGAGGAGCTCCTGCAGGTCCTGGGGAGATAATCTCTCCACCAGCCAGTTACCTGCCTAAGGGGTGTGTGGGGTTCAGTTGAGAACTGTTTACTGTTCCTCCATTGGTCTTGGACATAGAGAGGAGCCTCAAGTTGGTGCAGAAACGGAGGCTCAATGAGCAGGAGGACTAGGACCAAAGAGAAGCAGGACCCTGAAAAAAGACGTGTGAGAGGTGGTGGTGGTGGTAGAGTTGTGAAGGACAGGCCTGGTTAGCCAGGTGCTGGCAGGGAGGCGGGAGAGCAGCCTCAATGTTGGGGGACAAGGGGAGCCCCACCCCGCGGGGACCTGCCTTCAGTGGACATCCCTAGGGTGCCACCCCTAGAGAGGCCTGGCCAGTCTCATCTCCGACAATTCGGCTGCAGGGCACCATCCCCGCGGGCCGGCGTCCAGTTCCGGGGGTAGGCCGGTTTCCGGTCCGGAAGGCACGGGCGGGGGCGGGCAGTGGGGGGGCGGGCAGTGGGGGGGCGGGGCGCAGAGCCGGGCCTCCCAGGCTGCACCGTGCGGCTCGCACCCCGGGCTGGAGGCCCGAGGCCTTGCGCGCCCGCCCCGCACAGCTCGGCCTCGTGTTCCCCGGCGTCCGGACTCAGGGGGCGGCCGAGGCCGCGGGCCGGGCCCGGGGGGCGGGCAGCGAGCTCGGGCGATGGCACGGCCGCGGGGCCCCAGCCTCGCCCTCCCGGGGCGACGAACTCCCAGCAAAGCACGCGGCTCGTACCGTCCCTCGGTGGCCGCCGCGGCGGGTCCCGACGCACCCGGAGCGAGCTCGAGCTGCCCTGGCCGGTAACCTCCATCTTGTCGCCCAAGCTTCGCTAGCAACCACAAGCTCCTCTGCCATTGGCTTGTGGTCGCTAAGGGGGCGTGACTAGGAGCAGCGCTGGCCACCACTTCTTCCGGAGCGCCCAGTCCATCCGGGAGGCGGCGGGAGCTATTGCGCCTGCGCGGCGCGGGACATTTCCGTCATCCGACTCCTTCCGCCCGTAGGCCCGCCCTCCAACGGCCGCGGCCAACACACCGGAAGCGGAAATGGTTGGAGCTCTGGGTCCCGCCCCGCCGCCATCTTGGAGGCCGGAGGCGGCGCCGCAGGACCGAGCGGAAGTACCCGTGCAGCTTCCCGGACCCCGAGTCGAACGCTGGCGGCCGTCCCGCCCGCCGTCCTCCTCCCGCGGTCGTGAGGGAGACCGCGGCTCGGCCGCAGCGGAGCTGCGAGGTGCCGGGGCGGGCCGGGGCGCGGGGCTGGCCGGGCGGCGCCGCCTCCGCCTCCCTCGGCTGTCAAGGCCGCGGACGGGCGGGCGGGGCCGCGCCGCGCCGTCGGGGCCCGGGAGGGTCAGCGGGCGGCGCGGGCCGGGCCGGGGACCGAGGGGCCGGGGACCGAGGGGCCGCGCCGCGCGCCTGCCCGTCCGGCCCCTCGCGGCCCGCCCGCCCCGGCAGGGCGGCGGGAGCAGGTGGCCGTGGCCCCCGGCCCCCGAGTTGCGGGGCTCGTGTCCCCGGCCCGCCGCGCCGCACGTGTGTGGGCGACGCGGTCCTGCGCCCGGGGATGCCGAGGTCACTAGTGGGCCCGGGGGAACCCGCCAGATGCTCAAGATCACACGGTGGTGGGATCCCACGGCCTCGGACCGGCTGTCCTCCGGGCAGGCTGCGGCCGCATCTCCCCGATAAAAAGGTGGTGCTGGCTTCCGCGCCGCCAGTCTCTGAGCCCCGAGAGCTGCTTTCGCACCGAGAACCTTCCGTTCAGTGGCTTTTCTTCTTTCCTCCTCTCGGTGGAGACTGTTCTGGAACTGCTCTGTTCTTCGTTGGGTTGAGCAAAGGCCCCTCAATAACTGAGACTGTCATTCGGGTCCTGATATGTGTGTGGGGTGACTGCAGTGGAGGAAGAGTGGATCAAAGCCAGGAGGAGGTCCGTACTCAGAGGAGGGAGGAGTCCAGGCGTGGCCTTGGGAAGAAACCAGAGGTAGGGTCTCGGCTTGTCAGGGAGGGACTGGCTCTAAGGGTGTGCAGTCCCAGGGGCTCTTCCTTGACCAGGAAGTGTCAGCTGCAGATGCTGAGCAGAAGGCTTTCTTCTTTGTGCTGTGAGCCTAGTGTAAGTGATGGATTACAAAAGCTGGCCAGTTGGTGGACTCCAGAACCAGGCACATAGAGAATGTTTGTATAGTTTTCTGGCGTGATGGTACTGGGGGCCTGTCTGGAGTGGTTTTTGTTTTTCTTCTTTTTGGTGGAGCGATGTTTGTATTCGATAGATAGTCAATGGTACATGCAGAACCAGACAAGGGGTCAAGGGGTTCTCAAGCTTCCATTCTTTCTCTTTTTTTGTGGGGCCTGAACTCAGGGCCTGGGCGCTGTCCCTCAACTTTTCCGCTCAAGGCTAGCACTCTACCACTTGAGCCATAGCACCACTTCTGGCTTTTTTCTTTTTGCTTATGTGGTGCTGAGGAATCAAACCCAGGGCCTCATGCATGCAAGGCAAGCGCTCTACCACTGAGCCACCTCCCAGTCCCCTTTAAGCTTGCATTTGTAGGAGGAAATTCAGAGGCAAGCCAGAAGGGTATCAGAAAACAGTTGTCAAACAAAAACTGGGTGAGGAACATCAGGAACCAGTGGTCATTCTTGACAGCAAGAGGAGGCCTCTGAGGAGGTGACCTTTACTCTAAGCACAGGGAAGAGGATTGCAGCTAGAACAGCTGGTGTGAGTACTGCCCTAATCCAGGAACAAGTCTGACGTGTTTGAGAGCTGGGTACATACCGCCTGCCAGGCTCTGAGGACAGCACTGGCCGCCTTTAACTCCTCAAAAGAACCCTTTGGAGGAAGCACCAAGGTGCTGCTATCCCATTCTACAGATCAGAGCCCCAAGCAGTTTTAAATAGCTGTCCCTGGTCATGCCACTGCGGCATGTAGGACGGGATCCAAGCTGGCACTGGGCTCCAAAGTTCATGTTCTTAATCATGCCTATCCCTCTTGGCTTGTTACAGGTGGTGAGTCTAGTCAAGATGTAGAGCAGCGTTTGTCGGATGATCTGAAAGTGGTAGTACATTTTGTGTTAGGTTCTCCATGCACCAGTCTAAAGAAAAGTTTTAAGTAATGCCGCTTAGAGTACATAACTTGGGCAAAAGTGTTTTAGTGGTAAAACACTTTGGTCAGCTTAAAAAGTTTTCCAGCACTGTAGGATGAATAGTAAGACTGCAACAGTTTTCTGCAGGCTGGGCTTTGGCCTAAATAATGTGGCCATTCTATGTAATTCATTTTCATGTTACACCGATTAATTTATTTTTTGTTAAATTAAATGTTTTTAGTTTGCTTGGCTTACCTGAGACCACATGGTACTTCTTAGTCTCCTGGACAGCTCTGGGCACTGTCATTGATGGGTCCAGGAAAAGTGAGGTCATAGTTACATCTCTTTTTTTTTTTTTGGTGGTGATACTGGGGTTTGAACTTGGCCTCATACTTGCTTCACTTGCTTTGCTTGCCCAGCTGGCTCTCAACCACTTGAGCCATGCTTCCAGCTTTTGGATGGTTATTTTGGAGATAGAGCCTTCAGACTTTTCTGCCCAGTTTGACTTTGCTGACCTTTGGGTATCAGTCTCCTGAGTAGCTATGATTACAGGCGTGACCCACTGGTGCCCACATACTCACCCTTACAAAGACTTGAGGCTGCAGCCTATGGACCTATTAAACACACACACACACACACTCTCTCTCTCCTCTCTCTCTCTCTCTCTCTCTCTCTCTCACTCTCTCATTCTCTCTCTCCAGTTGAGATCAGAAGATTACTTGTCATCCATTGTCAGCTTTTTGCATGCTGACTTCCAGTGGACAATTTCCCCAATGTGCACAGTGAGGCTATGGTTTAGAAGGTGCTGGACTTCTTAGGCAGGTATGGGTTCTGGTTCAAAGCTCACCGCGCCACACACCAATCACTGGGAAAACTCAAGCTTTTGTGGGTTGGGCCTCAGTTTCCTCATCCAGGTGGGGACAGTCAGACTGTGCTGAAGGCTTCCTGTGGAGTGAAGTCTGCCGGTGTGTCTGGTGTGGGAAAGAGCCTCCTTTTGCAAATGAGGAATCAGGCTGTGTGGCCAGCGGGTGCTGAGGCCTCTGAGCTGTTGAGCACAGATGGGACTTCAACCTAGTTAAGAAAGGAGTCTATTTTCCTCTCCACCCCAAGTGTAGCAGAGGGAGTGTGGACAGGTGTCAACCACAGATTTGAGGGGATGTGAACTTTACCCCAGCATCTCCCCTGACTTAGGGGTCCACAAATAGCTCATGAAGGTTCACTGTGAGGTTCCTACTTAGCAGTACTTTCCCCCAAAATGGTGAGTTCTAGTTCATGTTTAGTGGAAGAGTTGGGTATCAGGCTGGGCCTTGAGCTGTTTGAGACTTGTTCCTCCTTTGTAAAATGAGGGTAATGATGCCTGTACTCTTGGCCATCTGGGAATGGAGAGAGAGCATGTGACTTGGCACCTGGGTTCTCACAGGTAAATTCTGCCTGAGATCCCAGCAGATGCTGAAATCGTCTGGAGCAGATAGTATTACTTCTAGTTGCCAGATAAGAAATGGTGACGTGAGCTGCTTGTAAGCCAGTACATTTTCCTCTTGATGAGGAGAGGCACTGGGAAGACAGACTTGGCGGAGTATGAAGAAGATGGGGTCTCAATGAAGAGATCTGTGGGGAGGGTGAACAGGCCACATACAAGGGCCTGCTAGAGGATTCCACGGTGAGAAAGGACAGCTCTCGTAGTTGGCAAGGTGGACAGCACTCTGTGTGTGTGTGTGTGTGTGTGTGTGTGTGTGTGTGTGTGGTTGAGGAGCAAGCAGAAGTTAAAGTCCATCAGCTGCTACCTCCTTCCATCCTCTCCCTGTACCAAAGCCTGTCAACTGCTGCTTTCTTGGCAAACAGTTCATGGGAGACACACATACGGTCCGGATGAAAGAAACACTAAGTACTAAAACGACCTGCTTGACAGATTGGTCAATACTGGCAAAAAATTCCCATCATTGAGTGCTTTTTATTTAACTTAGGAGCTTCTTGTGTTTTTCTCAGTTACAGAATGTCTGAAGGTGACAGCGTTGGAGATTCTGTCCATGGGAAACCGTCAGTGGTGTACAGATTTTTCACACGTCTTGGACAGGTTAGTGGGTTTGTAGATTAGTATAAATATTTGGGAAAAAGCGGACACATCTTCCCAAAGGGTGAGGTTGCCGCACTGTCAGAAGGTGAAGCCATGTCTTGCCCTACCTTAACACTTGTGCTTTGAGGGTCTGGCTCTTTACTGGGAAAGGCTAGGTGAAGAACTGTCTAGGCAAGGAGGACCACATGTGGTCTTGGTTACCTGTGGTTTTTCTTTTTCTTTTCCAACTTTAAAAACTCTCAAATCCAGCCAGGCGCTGGTGGCTCACGCCTGTCATCCTAGCTACTCAAGAGGCTGAGATCTGAGGATCACGGTTCAAAGCCAGCCTGGTCAGGAAAGTCCGTGAGACTCTTATCTCCAATAAACCACCAGAAAACTGGAAGTAGCGCTTTGGCTCAAGCGGTAGAGTGCTCGACTTGAGCTGAAAATTGTAGGGACAGCACCCAAGCCCAGAGTTAAAACTCCACGACCGACCAAAAAAGACAACTCTCCCAAGTCCGTCTTACCTTCTCTGTAGTGCAGATTGGGCTGAGGCAGACAGGACTTTGGCCCTCTCTCATTCTTGCCACATCACTCACTGGTCCTGGCAGTCCTCACCCCTCCCTCTTTGCACGCCTCTGCTGTTGGGTACTGCTCCCTGAGAGGTCACAACTTGGCCAAGGTAAATGTAGGTTATCACGGTGTAGTGGGTGCATCTGAGGGTGCATCAGAGTGATGGGCATGACACTCTTCCAACACTGCTTAAACTTAAGTCGAGTAGTCTAATACAGAGTGTAATTGTAGCTGCTACTATGTTGAATCAGTGAAAAAATGTCTACTTTTAATTAAAACTACCATGTGGTAAACTGTTGGTAATTCTTGAAGCTGGGTGGTAAGTATAGATATACTCCTGTATTTTACAACTGCTTGAAAATATTCACAATAATAATATTTTTTTTTGTGCTAGTCCTGGGGCTTGAATTCAAGTTTAGGCACTGTCCCTGAGTTTTATTTTTACTCAGAGATAGCATTCTACCACTTGAGCCATAGCTCCACTTCTTACTTTGGAGGTAAGAGTCTCATGGACTTTCTCGCCCACACTGGCTTTGAAGCTTGATCGTCAGATCTCTGCCTCCTGAGTAGCTAGGACTGCAGATATGAGCCACCAGTGCCTGGCTCATAACTAATAAAATTCATTTTCAAAATAAAAGTGAAGACACATACTGTGTGTTGGGCCAGCATGAGGCTACTGGGCTGGTAGAAGTCTCCAAAGTCTTGGGAGAAGTACAACCTGGGGAGCAGGAAGAAGGCCCCAGTGCCTAGACTCTTCATTTTTCCTTGCGGGGAGGATGAGTTTTGAGGTACTGTTGTGTGGACTTGGCTGTGCACCTTCCAGGGCAGTACAAATCTTTGTGGTGAAGTTGGTTTCCCTACAGAGTTCTCTTTGGGCTTCTGATAATTATTAACATTTTTGCTTAAGAAACAAACCTGCTTTGGGAATTATTGCAAATATTTATGGGTTAATTGTAGTTGCTGCTGTGTATACTCTCTTGTTGTTTTAAGTAGCTCTTTTGACATTGCAAATGATGTGACAGAAGTGCACTTTTGGTGCAGAGGGCTTCTAGGACTGATGTACCTTTGAACTTGTGTTCCATAGATTTACCAGTCCTGGCTGGACAAGTCCACGCCTTATACAGCTGTTCGGTGGGTCGTGACGCTGGGCCTGAGTTTTGTCTACATGATTAGAGTTTACCTGTTACAGGTAGGTGTGAGCCGTAATGACAAAGACTCAGCTGTGGTAGAAGTATTGCTGATCCAGATTGTGTGGAAGGACAGAGTCTTCATTAATCAATTTTCATGTCAGCATCAAACACAAGAAAAGTTGTAGTGACTGTTTTTCTTTTGTTGTTTTTTTTGTGCCTGTCCTGGGGCTTGAACACCAAGGCTAGCACTCTACCACTTGAGCCACATCTCCACTTCTGGCTTTTTTTTGGTGGTTAATTGAAGATGAGAGTCTCACATTTTCTTGCCCAGAATGGCTCTGAACTGCGATCATCAGATCTGAGCCTCCTGAGCAGGTAGGATTATAGGCATGAGTTACCAATATCTGGCTGGCGCGTGCGTGCGTGCGTGCGTGCGTGCGTGCGTTGCTTAGGTCCTAGATTAAGACTGACACTCTTACCTCTTGGGATGGTATGTGGGTGTGTGTGTGTGTTGTTACTGTGGCTTTTATTTAGGTCCTAGGTGCTGTACCTGAGCTCTTTGGATTAAGACTGACACTCTTACCTCTTGAGCCATACCCCTACTTCTGGCTTTTTGGTGCTTACTTGGGCTTAAGAGTTTCTTGGACTCTTCTGCCTGTTTTTTTTTTTTTGTCAGTTGTGGGGCTTGAACTCTGGGCCTGGGCTCTCTCCCTCAGCTCTTCAGCTCAAGACTAGTGGTCTACCACTTGAGCCACAGTGCTCCTTCCTGTTTTCTGAGTCGTTTATTGGAGATAACAGTCCCATGGACTTTTCCTGCCTGGTGGCTTTGAATGTCCATCCTCAGATCTCAGCCTCCTGTGTAGCTAGGCTTACAGGTGTGAGCCACCGGTGCCCGGCTTCTGCTATTTTTTAAAAATGAGTTATTTATAATTCCCTAGCTAAGGTTCCCAGGGTGTCCAGGCTGCCTCAGTTTTGCCCCTGGAGTGTCCTGGTCTGGATGACAGACCTTGTTTTGTCCCCCTGGCTGTGCCTCCCAGAGCAGCTTCTCCTGTACAGGGTAGCGTGCTGTAACAGATCCTTGCTTCCGTGGACTTTGGGTACCCTGAGTGACTGTGGCATTCCCAAAGGTTACATTGTTCCTGAGCTACTTCTTCTGTGAGGCTCAAGCACTAAGTAGAGAAAGAGGCTAAGTGACCTGCAGACCCTTGGTTGTCTGTGGACAGGGCAGGTGGCACAGGCTTATTAGAGCCTGTTGCCTCCTAGTGAAGTCCCTGCTCCCTGAGACTCCTTGTACCCTAGAGAAGAAGCTGTTTATAGTGTTTGTAGGTATAAAAGGGGGATAGAGGTTAAAGTTTTTGTCCAGAGCATGTCATCCTGGGGTGGTGTGGATGACGGTCCTTCATTTAAATTGCACACCTTCCTTCCTGGTATTTCCCAAGATTTCATAGGTTATCAGTCCATGAGTCAGCATGTTTATTTACTGCTCTCATTAATTCTTTTAGTGCTGTGTAAAATTCTTACTCTACATGTGGAAACTTGTTTTTACCTAGGAACTTAGCCTGTGAGTAGACCAACATTGGTTTACTGGGAGGTAGCAGGTTGTTATCATAGCCAAACCAAATATACATATAGGATATCTAAAATTAAAATTAAAATTTTAGATATATAGGATACACAGTTTTTTTAAAACTGAAACTTGGTTTGTTTACCAACAGCAAGTTGCCTTGAAGATTCTCTTCTGAACCAGGTTTGTACCTGATCTGGTGTCCTTCCAGCAATAGATGGTTTTGTGTGTGTGTGTGTGTGTGTGTGTGTGTGTGTGTGTTTATGAAAAACCACAGGCTTTTAAGATGGGTGGCATGCTTCTGGTATCTAACGGGCTAAGTTGGTGGTGCTTGTGTGCTGTATGAAGAGACTGCTAGGATTCCCCAGTTCTTTTGTATAACCTTAGGAAGGCCTGGCTTTCTCTTGCCAGCATATTTTCATGATGCTGTTTTGTTTTATTTCTGGTACTAGATTTCTTCTGGGCTAGACAAATATTCCAGGCAATGACCCTCCAGAGGGGTCTCAGCTGGTCATGTCTTTGGCAATAGCCGATTCTGCTCTAGACTCTTATGTGACTATCTGCAGCTGGTTAGCAGGCCAGGAGGTCACAGAGAGCCACCTCTGTGCTCAGCCACCCCATCCCTGTTGTAGGCATGGTCTTTTGGGGGGCAAATCCCTTGTTCTACACTCCTGATTGGAAGCCAGTGGTCTGGGAATCTCATGTATTTGATGGGACCCTGGAGGAAGTTTGTAATTTGGGCTCTGATCATCACTTTAGTTTCAAGACCCACTGAGTGCTTTGAGATTAATGGTCACCATGGATGTTCATTGTCACCTAACTTGCAGCCTTCTTACTTTGAGTAAAACACTGCTTTTCAGTTCAGTGGCGTGTTACAGGTTGTTGGCACAGTGAACTGGTTCAAGCCTGTGGTGGCTAGGCTGCCCACTGACCTGTGCTTCCTTCTCTTTCAGGGTTGGTACATCGTGACCTACGCATTGGGAATCTACCACCTAAATCTCTTCATTGCGTTCCTTTCTCCCAAAGTGGATCCTTCCTTAATGGAAGATTCAGGTAGATATGACACTGTGTGAGGCACTGTCTGGGTAGTGTTGTGCCTCCTTATCCCTCTTGTATAGCCGTCTGTGCTGGGCTCACAGTGTTCATGAATACTTGTCATGTCAGGAATAGGGTATGTTTGTCCATGTTGAACCACTTCATGAGTTCCTGTGTAGCTGGGAAGGGCTCATTGCTCATTCTGTTCTCCATTTTGCAGTTGAGGAAACTGAGGTACCTGGGGTTTTGTAATATATCCGAGGTCACGTAACAGAGTGTGGGACTGACAGCATGGACGAGCCGCCCTCCCAGACCTGCCTCTTACGCACACAGCCTGTTCTGGTGGTGCTTTGGGACTTCCTGTGGGGAAGAAGCCCTCTGTGCCCAGCATGACCATCTGTTGAGGGTAGCGGGCACTCCTTGGTTTCTGAGGAGTTGAAATATTCTTGGCATGTCCTTGTACTACACATATGAGGTTCACATGGCTCTGATCGAACGTGGGCCCGTGTGGGGTGGGTAACGGCTGAGGCCTTCTACCCAGATGTACCTGCTGCTTGTGATTGGAAGCCAGCTGGTGGCCTGCCACAGAGTCTGCCTTGTTAGGAGGTGGTCCAATCCAGTTTTCTGGGGCTTGAACTCAGGGCCTGGGCACTGTCTCTGAGCCTCTCTCTGCTCAAGGCTAGAGCTCTACCACTTGAGACCCAGCACCACTTCTGGCTTTTTCTGTGTATGCAGTACTGAGGAATTGAACCCAGAGCTTCTTGCATGCAAGGCAAGCACTCTACCACTGAGCCACATTCCCAGCTTCCAAGCAATGTTCAACATGGGTGACTAGTACCTGTGACCTTCCTCTAGAGTCAGCACCTTTCATTACATGTCACTGTTTCAGGAGGCTAGACAGCAACTAAGACCCTTTTCTGTAGGCTTTGATTTCTGAATCTGAAAATGGGGAGAGGTAAGAGGAGCAGAGACCTGGTCCTAAGGAGCTGTGGGTGCATGAGGCTGTGTTGGTACCACACTGTTCTTTTGGACACAGCCTTGTGTTCTCTTCTCTATGTGGTCTAAACTGGTGTTGAACTTGGGATCCTCCTGCCTCTTTGAGTGCTGAGATCACAGGCATGTACCACCATACCCAGCCTGCATCATCATGCTAGGTCTGCATTCTTTTTGGTCTAGTCCTGGAGCATGAACTCAGGGCCTGGGTACTGTCTGAGCTTTTGTGCTCAAGGCTAGTGCTCTTACCACTTGAGCCACAGTTCCAGTTTTGTTGTTTTGGCAGTTTATTAGTTTATTGAAGCTAAGAATCTCACTGATTTTCCTGCCCAGGCTGGCTTCAAACTGCAAACTGCACTCTTCATATCTCAGTCTCCTGAATAGCAAGGATTACAGGCATGAGCTGCATTCTCTCTTTACTATTTGTGTAAGTGGCAAATTTGCCCTTGTTTTCTTCTAGTACAGTTGATGAAAACTCTGGGAGACTGACTTTTTTCATCCATTTAAACTGTGTAGAAATCCTCTCAGAGTCCAAATTGAATCCTCTGAAGCAATGCCCTTTTTACTAAGTTGGCTGCTTTTTTCTTCAGTTAGGTGATAGACACCTGAATTTCCCTCAGGCTTAGGGTGAAAGGCTTCAGGGAAAACTTCTGAATGTGGTAATAGACATGAAAGTATGAGGCAGCAGGTGCATTATCTCCACTTGTTCTGCCTTTCAGATGATGGTCCTTCATTACCAACCAAACAGAATGAGGAATTTCGTCCCTTCATTAGAAGGCTTCCAGAGTTTAAGTTTTGGTGAGCTATTTTTTTTCCTAGTAAACTTAAAAAAAAAAACAAAAAACCTTAACCCTTTTATTTGACATAGTAATTGTGCATGTATGAGGGCACGGTGTGACACGTCAGTACCTGTACACGGCAACTGGCGTGGCCATCGCCGTAGACACGTATCACTGCTTTGTGTGGAAACATACAATCCTCTCAGCCATTCCAAAATAGAGAGTGAATTGTCCACCAGTTACCCTCCTGTGTTGTCATTTCTTCCTGTCCGCTTACGCCTTTAGTTCTTAAAGGTGTAAGTAAAGATACTATGCTCGAGTATGGCCAGGGAGACTGTAAAAACTAACTTCTGTTGTAGTTGGCCAGCAACTTAGACTTTAGCAAATGAGTTTGTTGTGCTTTGCTTGTGACATTCATCCATAAGGTGACAGCTGGGCATGAGAGTGAGGAGACTACCACTTAGAAGTATTGTCTGGGCTGTGTTGGCACAGTGGTCTGAAGCTAGCAGAGAGGTTGGCTCCGGGGTGGAGGGTGCTGGCATCCTGAGGACTTGGGCCCTAGCGACTCTCTTTGGGCAGCTGCCTTCTAGGCCCTGTTGCTCGTGACTGGCAGATGTGAGCCAGCTTTCGCCTGGCTGTGTCTTGAGAGGGCCCTGTGAGAAGGTTTGTGGTGGGCCAGGGTCCACCCTCAGGGTTTGGACCTTCTTTGGACTGCAAGAAACTAAGACAAGAGACAGGGACGTGGGCTGGGTAGATGGAGTTCTTGTGTGTCCGTGTATGACTGGCCTACTGTCCTGTCTCTGGTGGTACTCAGCCCTGTGGCACAGGAGGAGCCAGTCTGTTGGGTAAATAAAATTAAACAACCTGTTCTTCAATCTATAGGCCTTTACTCCGCAGCCCTGCTGTGTAATGTTGGAACATGGGGGACAGGTATAGGAGAGGGAGCAGAAAGTAGGCAAGGCCCAGAAACCCTGGAATTCCTCAGGGAACCTGGATTTGTTCTGTAGGAAAGGGAGAGGCAGGAGCAGGTGCTGGTGGGTGGGCACCACTTTGCCCCAGGCTCCCATTGTTGGCCATGGGCCTTTGTGCTGCTCCAGGCCAGGGCAGGCAGCAAGCATAAGGTGCGTCCGGCTTCAGCATCGCTGCTGTGTTTTGTGAATGTGTGGGAAGACAGCTCCAGGAGACTGAGAGAAGGCCGTGGCTGTGCTTAATTGTGGCACATTCACAGACAACACACACAGGTCCCATGCAGCTCCCGGGCAGGGAGCTGTCTCTGCGGATGCCCATGTGCGAGCTGAAGCAAGAGCAGCTGTGGAGGCCGGTGGAGGTCCGCAGATGCTGGCTGCTAACCTGTGTCCTTGCTTTAAGGCACGCGGCTACCAAGGGCATCCTCGTGGCTATGGTGTGTACCTTCTTCGAGGCATTCAACGTCCCAGTGTTCTGGCCAATCCTGGTGATGTACTTCATCATGCTTTTCTGTATCACAATGAAGAGGCAAATAAAGGTAACGACATCAGCGCTGTGCTGTGCGGATGGCCACCGGGAAAGACATGCTTAGGTCTGGCTGAGAGCAGAGGTGGCACTGCTCTGTGAGGACCCATGCCGAATGTCCAGCCAAGGCCAGTGAGTGCAAGTTCTGGATGCCGGGGAGGAAGATACTGAGTGGAGCCAGGGCAGCCTGCCTCAGTTGTGCAGGCTGCCCAAGGAGTGTTGAGGGGATGTTCCCAGATGTGACTGCTGCGCAGCCTTTCCTACAGGGAGGAGCGGCTCCTGAACCCTCCTCCAATCATTGGGTGTCAGACAGGACTCTGGCCAGTTAGGTGGGCTAAGGAAGGTTCTGCTCTGTCCATGTGGAGACAAGAAGAGGTCCTGATTGTATCTGTGACGGAAATAGTTAAGGGGTACCTTTGGCTTTGCAGAATTAGGGGAAAATGTGGTTAGGGAACTCTTGAGTAACTCAAGTCTGTTTGTGTGTTTGTTTTCCCAGCACATGATTAAATACCGGTACATACCGTTCACACACGGAAAGAGGAGGTACAAAGGGAAGGAGGACGTGGGCAAGACGTTTGCTAGTTAGACGCTGGACTGGGATCTGTCACGCGTGCAAGAGCGGTTTTGAGCCACTGTAACAATGCCTTTTTCTTCACATAAAGTAGTTGATTACGAGGGAGTGGAATTTTCTTTTTAAAAGGAGCCTCAATGATTTGTAATTGAAATATCAGGTTCTTGAAGAAACTGGCATTTAAACCAAATTGCATTGATCTTTTTTTCAGTGATGTTCATGTTTCAATCCGACAGAGGTGTATGAACTGCAGGCCTGAGCGGCTAGGTGGGTGGCAACCTGTGGGGAAGGGAGGATGGAGGGCTGCCGCGGGGCTCCTTCCCTGCCGTACTGAGCTCACTGCTCTGTGCCAGTGGTGCGTGCCAGCCCAATTCCTGGGGGTGGGTGGACGTGAGACATGAGAGTGGCTTTCGAGTGACGGTGGTTCTCGTGCCAGTGTCTGCATTTCATCTCATTGGAGATGTTTCAAGCTGACCCCTATCATGACTCAAAACTTTGTTCTTAACTACCATGATTGCTTTTGAGGGCCTGGAATTATAAATATATATATTATATTTTAATTGTTTGAGATTATTTTGACATATTTCTTTGATACGTGAAGCTTGTTTTGCCTTTGATTAAATTTGTTCTCACGCAAATTTGAATGGTTAAACCATCAAAACCCACCAGAGCAGGCCAGGTCTGTGGGTTTAACACACGGAGTTTTCACTATCTTGGGGGGAAACTAGAACCTACAGCATGCCAACTTTTTGATGTGATAAAATACTCAAGCATCTTACTAAGTGACTTTTTCATCCTGCCTTCAGTATTAAAGGTTGACCCCTGGCTCGTGCAGTCTCTCCCAGCCTTGCCTTCTGTAGGGGGGAGGGGAAGGAAGGGGAGGGCCAGTCTTGCCATTAGCCACCCAAAGGACACCTTAGGCCTGGTCTGCACAGATGCCCCCCCTCTTGGGGGAGGGCCACATCTCCCGCCCACTACACTTTTAGACATGAAATACTGTCAGTGGTATAATTTTCACTTGCCAACTTTTTGGTATCTAAAATTAAGCTCTTTCTTTACAAGTCCATATTCGATTCTTTTGTACCTGACCTGACATTCTAAGTTGATAACTATGTGGAGTGCTCTGGAACTTTTGGTTTTCATTTTCCACGTCAGTCAGTGCTGAGGCTGAAGTGTGATGGAACACTGCACCTGAGTGGAGTGGTGTGAATTTTAGGACCAAGTAGGGTAGTTGTATATGCCCATGCTCTGGTTTCTCCCACAGGGACTCTTGGGAACACCAAAGCCATGGTGCTGCTGGTGGGCCTCAGCCCTGCCTTCTGCAGAGGCCCAACCCATGTCTTATGAAACCCTCTGGGTCTTCTTACTTGCCAGCATGTCCGTGGAATTTGTTTCTTAGGGGGCACCAAGCTGTCTGAGCGAGCTAATACCTGGAAATACCCAGAGGCAAGGGCAGGCTGGGGGCAAGCTGAGTGGGGGGCGGTCGTGCAGTGACCTGGGGTAAGCTGGTGCCACTGCCCCTGTGGGCCTCCTTGGTTAGACCGCCCCAAACGTGCACGTGACAGGTAATGCCTCAAGCGGGCTCTGCCACCAGTGCAGACCCTCCTCACCCGCCTTCTGGCTAGTATGAAGATCCGGATTTCTCCATACCGGAAGCAAGCCAAGTATGTGCCCAGTGTCTCAGGCAGGGTGCTGGAGATGGCTTACTCGGCTCCCAGCATGGGGCCATTTGACCACACTGTGCCACTCCTGTGCCAGGGCTCAGCACTGCCTGTGTGGCCTCACCGAGGAACCCTCTGAAGACATGAATAAAATCCTCTCTGGCCAACCTCTGATTAGTTCTCAGCTGCGTGACTCAAGGAGGGGAGGAGGGGACCTTAGACCGTCTCAACAAGACTCTGGAGAAAGACAGCCCGCCAAACAGCAGCCTGGGTGTGGGGCCCCCTCGTGGACTTCTACGTGACAAAAAACAAAAGTTGTGAGAATTTTACCATTTCTATGCAAGTACAGTTAACCCTGAAGACCGTTTACTCCACCTCATCTGGGGCTGGGCTGTCAGCGGTAGTGCCGTAGGTAGACCAGCTTCTGGGGAGAGAACTTCTCCCTGCAGAGGGGGCACTCTGTCTGTGGGGGAGAGGAAAGTCATGTCAGCTGGGGTGGCCCTGACCCTACTGCATCTCCCAAGAGGTGCACACAAACACAAGGCCATGTCCCTACTTTTCAGCCATGAAACAGCTTGCCCAGTGCTAGCTCCAATGCTGTGCCCAAGCTTTGGACACACGGGGCCTCTCCAGGGCTTTTCCCATGTCTGTGTCCAGCATGCTCAGCCAGCTGCTGTGGAGGGTTTCTGTCTCATCAGTCATACATGTTAGGCCGTGTGTGCTATTCTGATCCATTCTGACCCTCAGGTCCCACTATGAATGGACCTTAGACCCTCCTCTCGGGACGTGCTGGACTTGCTGGGTGCTCAGGAATCTGCCCACACTGTGGCACTGCTGGTTCATGTTTCTGGAGAATGGATGCTTGTGCCTTCATCCTGCTGCTAAGCCCAGGATGGCCACTCTGGAACTTAGGCAGTGCTGTAGCCACTGAACCCCCCCCTACAATGGCAGCCAGAGCTCCTGGCAGGACAGTGGATCGCCAGGAAAGCATTTCTTTGGAGGCCAGCTGCTTTGAGAGGGCACCACGTGTGCCCTGGGCATCTGACCTGGTAACAGCGGACACGGGCACAGGGAGGGTCTGGCATATGTAAACCGCACCAGAGTTCCGTGCACCCAAGACTCTGGAGGCAGCCTGGGCCCGGTCTCTGCACCCGGCACAAGCATTTGGCTTGTACTTTCAGCCAAGCCTCAACAGGCAGGACTTGGACCTTTAGCCCCAAACAACAGCCCCATAGCAGACCTACTTCAAGAAGATGCCCGCCCCGCCACCTTCAACATGGGCTGCAGGCCTGGGTGGCACGCACCTTGGTGTTACACCACTCAGTGATGCACTCCCAGCAGAAGAGGTGGCCGCAGGGTGTGGCTGTGGAGTGCCTGCGCTCCTCCAGGCACAGGGTGCAGAGAGGGGTTCTGGAACCAGCTCGCTCCTCCAGGGAACCTCTGGGAAGGGGGACATTCGGGTGAGTCCTTCCACAGCTGCTGTGCTGAGCCCCCTGCCGCTGTCTCCCCCAGCGGGCCCCCCATCCTCACTCACCTGCGGTGGGACAGGTGGCGGTGCAGCTTCCACTCCTTCCTGGCACGCTGCCTCTGCCGGAAGCTGTACAGCTGCAGCCCCACCCAGAGTGCCAGGTGTGCTAGGGAGATGAGACCTAGCAGCCTGTAGCCTGCTTGGGCCCTCAGGTCTTCTCGGGGCAGGTGGCGAGTGCGGAGCTGTCAGGGAAGGTGGCCCCACGCCCATCAGGACCCCAAGGGGACCTGGCCTCTGTCTGCTGGATGTCCTGCATTCATTCAGTGGCCCAGGCCTCCACCCGGCCTGAGAGGTTTGGACCTGAGAGGTCCGATTTGGAGTCCAAGGGGAAGCTTTAGGTAAAGGCCATGAGGCTGGATGGGGAATCCTCCCCTGGGAGGATTCTGAGGTCATCCGATAACCACCTCTCAGGGAGAAGGGAACCAGCCAGGACTCCTAGGAGCATGGTGCAGGGAGCTGGCACGCAGACTACCCACCAGATGCCCTGCCTCACTACTTCAGCAAGGCTTGTGGCCCCTCTGGGGACGCTGCGACCGTGTCCCCATCTCTCCCAGTTGGTGACTGAAGCGAGAGCCTCTTAATGCTCTATGTCCTGTGCCCCTCCCACTGCCAGCTGGGCTCTACTCTCCATGGAGGAGCCCTGTGCTCACTCTTGAGTCTGGCCCACAGACACTCAGCAAGCTCTCTGGGCAAGAGGACTGTGCCAAAACACTGCCAGTCTGCATCACTGAAGACAGATCAGACACAGTTCCATGACAGGGCTGCTGGTGCTCCACTGGTTGTAAGCTGGGTTGGCCTGACAGCAGAGGGCCCGGGGCAGGGAGACACGGTGGGACCACAGGGAAGCTTTGGGGACAGATCAGCTAGGAGACGAGGCTGACAGCTAGGTGGGCCGACCATGGGGCCAGGCGGGGGGGGGGGGGGGGGCGGGGAGCCTGGCTGGCCGTGCTAAGGCCATGTAGTCGCCATGGGTCACGGCTGGAAAAGTACCCTGCACCATGATCTAAGACCCTGCTTCTCTGTCAGGACTGCTGGACAGTGGTGGGCAAAGACCCTGGGGGGTATGGTAGGAAGTGGGAAAAAGAAAGGAGCTAGCTAGGGCCCACACTTGGCTCCATGGCAGCTAAGATGCCCATTCTACAAAGCAGAGAAATGGGCTTGTACAGGGACCCACCATGAGGTGGACCAGTCCCCTTGGTCAGTGCCCACACCCCCACTTCCTGGCCACCCCATGTGCTAGCTGCAGGAAGAAAGATTTTCTTTCTTTCTCTACTCCTGGCAACTGTAACTGAACAAAATGGACTGTTTTCTAAGAATTGCGGTCTCAGCATTTAAAGCACTCTGCGGTGACTACGTCACCAGCATGGACCTGCAAAGGCCAGGGCTGCACAGAACAGAGACCCACCATATCCCCCGCCCTGCACTGCTACTTACGTAAGTGACACCCACAAGCCTTTTAGCTAGGTGGTAGAAAGCACCATGGATGTAAAACCAGGCAACATGGAACCTATGTAGGTAGGCGAGGCCTTGTCTGAGGATGGAGACTGTGCGCTGGAGCGTCTTCCTCTGTTGTTCAGTCAGGGAAGTTGCACGGCGACGCACCCAGCGCCGTGCTCCTGACCGGCTGCGCCCACTGGGCACCAGGCTGCCCTGTGAGGGCCGTGCACCGTCGCCATCCGCCTGAAGTTCCTGCTCCAAGGGCAGCAGGGCCTTGTCCAGCAGGTAGGGCAGTACTGCGTGCAGTGCCACCAGCACTCCACGGCGGAGCCTGGAGGGCACACGCCGCTGGGACCCATCCACCTGGACGATGCCAACGTACTCCTCCCCAAGGGTCTGGTAGCCTGAGAGGTTGAGGATGGTGCACACTGATGAGGGCCTGACAAAGGGGTGGGCTCCTGGGCCAGCCTGCTCTTAGCCCCAGACCCTAGCCCTGCCCATCATGCTTGCCCCCCCCCCCCAGCCTGTCACCCTTGAGCCTTGCCTAAGGCAAAGATGACCTTCTGTTGCTAAGCTGTGGCCTCATCAAGCCCCGAGGCTGGCTGGTTCACCACAGCCGGTGACTGGCTGCGTGAGCTCCTGGGCTCTGGCTCAGGATCCCCCTCCCGCTGTTGTAGTCTGTGTTCAGCCCCGCTTACTGTCCCTCCTCCATCATCCCCTGCCCAAGTGATGATCCAGTCCACCTCCCACATACTGATGTAGACTCCACTTACAGCCCAGTCTGGGCCTGGCTCATTCCTGAATCCCAAGTTTCCAAGTCAGTGCCAGCCTGACATTACTGTGGTGTTGGATAAACACCTCCAAACTCACCCCTGCCAAGAGCAGGCTCCAAGCCCCACCTAGGAAAGTCTGCTTCCCTACTTCCTATCTCTGCTGAAGGTGATGAGTGAGGGACTTCTTGTGCTCAGTGCATTCTGGACTCTTCTTCTCCATGTGTCTCACCAAGACCCAGGCTCATACAGCCTCTGTGTAAGTGTCCTTCTTCCACCTCTGCCCCCATGGTCTGGTTATAGCTAGCAGTCAGCCCCTCTCCTGCCTGTGACCTACAATGACCCACACCTTGTAGGGGGAGAACCCAATCTGCCAAGGCGGCCTCCATTTCAGCGCTGTGCTCCCGTTGCTTGCTCTGCTTTCAACAGAACAGGCCCTTGACCCTGAAGGGCCCACGGCCTCCCGGGAGGCCACTTGATGTTTATCATGTCTCCAACAAGAATATGTTCCTGCTCCATGGTGACTCACCCTTCTTGTGTAGGACTGGCTGACACCTCGCAGGTGCCCGCCAAGCCCGAGACCTTCCTTTGGTGTCTCCTCTAAAGGATGGCCACCAGTCTTGGCCCACTGCCAGCACCGTGACCCGCTCCTGTCGCCACGATCAGCCAATGAGAAACTGGTACCAGGATGGAGGTCCCCGGGAAATGAGCACTAATGAGGGCCGCATCCAGCGCGGCCTGAGGCTTCTCCCGGCCTCCCTGCCCCCTCCCACTACCCCGTCTTCTGACTTGGGCCTGCTGAGCACGGCTACCTGCCACTGTGGTGAGGCCGAAGTAGGCGACGTCCGAAAGCAGCTCGAGCTCCTTCCTCCACTCCAGCCACTTCTTTGCACCTGCGAGGAGAAGCGCGTTACTCGGGGGGAGGCGGTGCGCTCCTCTGGGCTCGGCGGGCACGGCCGCCCCTCCGGAGCGGAGCTTCTCCTCCCCGGAGCGCCGGCCGGCAGCACAGGCCGTCCCGAGCAGCGCGGGCGGCCGCGGGGCAGCCGTTCTCCACTCCGGAAGGCCCCGGCCAGATCTGCCGGCCCGAACGAGCAGGGGCCGCAGCAGGGCCCACGGGAGGCCGCTGGCACGACACGGCGTCGGGGAAGCCCCCCGGCCGTCGGGGGCCTCCGGCAGCCCCGGGGCGCTCACCCGCCAGGCTGTGCACGGCGCCGCCGGCCGCACCCCGCAGGCCGCCGCGGTAGTGCTCGTCCTTCTGCGCCGAGCGGATCACCTCTGCTGGGCCGGCCCGCGCCATGGCCGCAGTCCCGACGCGCCCGCGCGGGCCCAGTCTGATGACGTAGCACGTAGCTCGGCGTGCGGTGCGGGCCTCTTGTGTCACGCGGACGGGGGCGGGGCCAGGCCCGAGTCCGGCTGGGCAGGAGGGGGCGGGGCCTGGAGCGGGGTGGGGCCTGGTGCAGGGCGGGGCCTGGAGAGTGGGCAGCGTAACGGGTTGGACGGAGGGCGGAGCTGGGCTGGGGGCGGGGCTTGCACGGTGGGGCGGGGCCAGGCGCGAGCCCGGCTGGGCGGGGGCGGGGCCTGAGGGATGGGGCGGAGCCTAAGAAATGGGGCGGGGTTACGCGGCGCTAAGAGCTGGGCGCGGGCGTCCTCCGCTGTCGGGTTGCTCCTGACGTCCAGTCCCGGACGAGCGCGGGGCCTCGGGGGCCCCCTGGGACGACGGCGGCGGGACAGCTGTCCGCGCCCACGGGGGCTCGGGCCGGGGGGCCGGGGGGGGCGGGGGGCGGGGGGGCGGGGCCGTCCTGACCCGGCCGAGGGCGCCGCGCTGCGGTCCTGCGGGCGGACGGCGGCGGGGCGCCGGGGCCGGCCTCGGCTCCGGTCTCGTCCCGGAGGCTCCGGGGTACGAAGGTCTCCGGACGGGGCGGCCCGGCGGGGTCCGAGCAGGAGGCGCGGCCCAGGCGGCAGCGCGGAGCTGCTCCGAAGTCCCCGGCAGCGCCCACCACGGCCGGCGGCGCCGGCTCCGGCCGCCCGCGCGCCCCGCGCAGGCCTTGCCCGAGGCCGGCTCCTGCGCTGGGGATCCGGATCCGCGCCTCGGCCGCGGGGCGGGGCGGGGGCCAGGAGCGGGGGGGACGAGGGGGGGGCGGGGGAGGAGGAGGAGGAGGAGGAGGAGGAGGACGAGGAGGAGGACGAGGACGAGGAGGAGGAGGACGAGGAGGACGAGGACGAGGAGGAGGACGAGGACGAGGAGGAGGACGAGGACGAGGAGGAGGACGAGGACGAGGAGGAGGAGGAGGAGGACGAGGAGGAGGAGGACGAGGACGAGGACGAGGAGGAGGAGGAGGAGGAGGACGAGGATGATGATGAGGAGGAGGAGGACGAGGATGATGATGAGGATGAAGATGAGGAGGAGGAGGAGGAGGACGCCGAGGAGGAGGACGAGGATGATGATGAGGATGAAGATGAGGAGGAGGAGGAGGAGGACGCCGAGGAGGAGGACGAGGAGGAGGACGAGGACGAAGATGAGGAGGAGGAGGAGGAGGAGGAGGAGGATGATGAGGAGGAGGAGGAAGAGGAGGAGGAGGACTAAGAGGAGGAGGAGGAGGAGGAGGACTAAGAGGAGGAGGAGGAGGAGGAGGAGGATGATGAGGAGGAGGACGAAGAGGAGGAGGAGGACTAAGAGGAGGAGGAGGAGGAGGAGGAGGACTAAGAGGAGGAGGAGGAGGAGGAGGACGAGGACGAGGAGGAGGAGGAGGAGGAGGAGGACGAGGATGATGATGAGGATGAAGATGAGGAGGAGGAGGAGGAGGAGGAGGAGGAGGAGGACGAGGAGGAGGAGGAGGAGGACGAGGATGATGATGAGGAGGAGGAGGACGAGGATGATGATGAGGATGAAGATGAGGAGGAGGAGGAGAAGAAGGAGGACGAGGATGAGGAGGAGGAGGAGGACAAGGAGGAGGAGGAGGACGAGGACGAAGATGAGGAGGAGGAGGAGGATGAGGATGATGATGATGAGGAGGAGGAGGACGAAGAGGAGGAGGAGGACTAAGAGGAGGAGGAGGAGGAGGAGGACTAAGAGGAGGAGGAGGAGGAGGAGGAGGAGGACTAAGAGGAGGAGGAGGAGGAGGAGGAGGACTAAGAGGAGGAGGAGGAGGAGGAGGAGGACTAAGAGGAGGAGGAGGAGGAGGAGGACTAAGAGGAGGAGGAGGAGGAGGAGGAGGAGGACTAAGAGGAGGAGGAGGAGGAGGAGGAGGACTAAGAGGAGGAGGAGGACGAGGAGGAGGAGGAGGAGGAGGACTAAGAGGAGGAGGAGGAGGAGGAGGACTAAGAGGACGAGGAGGAGGAGGAGGAGGACGAGGAGGAGGATGAGTAGGACGAGGAGGATGAGGAGGAGGAGGACGAGGAGGACGAGGAGGAGGAGGAGGAGGAAGAGGAAGGCCGTTTGTTGCCCTGGGGTGGGGGACTTAGGGCTGTGTGCGTTCACATCGTTCACATCGCAGCCCCAGATCTCCGTCTGATCCTGGCCTCCGACCCTGGGCCCCCGGGTGGGGCTGCACAGTCCCGGCTCCGACCCTCGGGCAGAACCCTGCATGGCCAGCAGGGGGCGGCAACGCTTTTCTGCTCTGCACTCTGTGGGTTCAATGAAAGTCCCAGCGACTATGACCCAGAATGGCCCCCCCCCCCACCCCCAGCCTCAGGAAGAAGATGGGGAAGGAGGGTGGGGCAGCTCCCAGGGGAGAGAGGGCAGAAGGTGGGATGGACAGGTACCCTTATACCTTCCCTCCTCCCGTCCCTGGAGAGAGGACCTGGGGCCCCGGTGAGCTGCAGTACTCTGGGGCGTCGGGTCTAGAGGGTGGGGAGTGCTTACCGGGAGAAGCGGCATCTGTCCCCTGTCACCTTCCTTTGGCCTCCTGTTGTCCAAGCCGCTGGGACTGTGGCCTGAACAGTGGCTCTGGATAGACTCCATCCTGCTCCAAGGGCCAAGGGTGGGGAAGTCCTTCAGCGAACACAGCCGCAGACATGGAGGAAAGTGGCTGACCAAAGCCAGCCTGGCCTTGGGGTTCCATTGGGGGCCACCTCGGACTCTAAGCCAAGGGTCGCTCCCTTTTTCCACCACAGTGAAGCTGTTTGTGGGCACTACTGGGGAGCCCTGCTACTCCTCACTAGCCTCTGCCCTCCCGCAGCCTCACGGGGCTGACTGACCTCTGCCCTCCCGCAGCCTCACGGGGCTGACTGACCTCTGCCCTCCCACAGCCTCACGGGGCTGGCTGACCTCTGCCCTCCCCCAGCCTCACTGGCCCTTTGTTGTACACAGTGCACATGGTGCAGGCCTCAGTTCTCCAGCCTGTGAAATGGAAATGATGATAGCAGTTAGCTGGTACTTATTATTATTATTATTAATTATTAGCGTTAATGGTCTAAGGAGGGTTTCGCTGTGACAGAACCTTACAAGAATCCCATATGCCCATCAACCTATTCTCTCTGCCACTCTCCCTTCTCTTCCCTACCCCCTTCTTCAAACAGTGACAACAGGTCTCACTGTTCTAGTCTCATGCATATGAAAGACTCCAGCCATGCTCACCCTGGTTCACACTCTCCCTTCGGCACAGGGCTGATACCTGACCCTGACAGCGCCTCTTTCCCTCTCCCATCACTCCTGTTTTTGGAGTGTGTCAGTCATGCTGAGGAGCTGGGATTTCTGCTGCTGTGGCAGCGTCCAGTGCCCGAGTGGCTGGGGCGGTGCCCAGGTATCGTTGAGGTCAGTGGTCTGGTTGGCGGAATCTGCGTCTCTGGCAAGCCCCGGGAACACAGAAGCTGCTGGTGCGCCTGCCCTTGCGGGGACCCTTCATAGCTTCTCTTCTACCCAGGACACCAGTGTCTGGTGTCTCATGTGCCCTCCCTCCAGCGCGCCGCTCCGGCCTCCTGCTCCACAGCCTTTCACTGGTGAGGAGGCCAGGGGCGGGGAGTTCAGTGGTGTGTGTGTGGGGGGAGCCCGGCCACGTCCACCCCAGCCATCTCCCCTCCTGCCGTTAAGCAGGCCCGGGGCACCTGCTGGGGCAGCGCCTGCACGCGCCACTGGGGCAGAGGTTGGCGCCGTTCGCGCGGCTGCTGCGTCCATGGAGCTCCAGCCACTGCAAAGCAGCCTGGAGGCGGGAAAGGAGAAAAAGAGAGGCGAGCCCTTCTCCCAGGCCTCTCGTCCAGCCTGGGTGGCCAAACGGTGGAGTCCACTTTTGTTCCAGGGAGCCCTTGCTCATTCCCAGAGCGCCCGCCCCTCTGGCCTTTCTTGTCGGGGTGGCGGCGCCTCGCTTTCTGCGGGGATGGGGAGGAGGGGCCTGCGGGAGGTCCTTTCCGGGCCACTGGGGAGGACGGGGCAGCAGGCACCTGGGTGTGGAGCAGGCTCGGCACTGGTGCGGTTTCTAGGAGCCCCGTGCCTAGGGGCTCTGGACCCAGATGCGTGGCTCTGTGCCGCTCGGCCCTCTTCGGGACAGAGCCCCCCCACCCGCAGCTGGCACAGACAGGACCACAGGACCGTTAGGGTGTGCCCTGGCCCGGGAAGGGGGCCCCTGATAGGCCACCACAAACCTGGTGGAACAGGTTTCTCCACTGGTGGGGCAGCCGGGAGGAGGCCCGGCCCACTCTTGCTCTGCGCCCCGTTGCTGCACACGGAGGGCTGGAGGTATGGGAGCGCTGGGGTGGGGAGTGCGGGGCCCTCGGAGGAGGGCGGCAGCGTGCGGCCCCAGACCCGGCTGGGGAGGCCCCGGGCCTGGGCGGCAGGCAGGGGCGGAGGTCTCCAGGGCCGCACTGGGAAGGACCAGTGCCCGAAGTGCCCTCTCAAGGGGCTTGTTGGGCAGGACTGCAGTGCCCGGCGCGGCTCGAGCCTGTGGTCCCTGGGAAGGGGCTCTGGGCGGCTCTCAGGCACAGGCAGTGACTGGGCTGCCGCTGGGCGGGACTAGGCCGCGGGTCTTGTGGAGGAAGAGCGTGTGTGCCTCCCGGGGACTGAGGTGGGCGGTCAGTCACCGCTGGAGGCCGAGGCCTCGGGCACCAAAGAAGAGCTCCCAGCGGAGGGGCCCGGGAGGAGGGAGTGGGCTCCATCCTCACGGGAAACCCGCTGTGCAGGCGCGTGCGGGGTGGGGTGGCAGGCTGTCCCCCGCCCTTGCCCACTCCATCCACCAGCACGGGGAGGACCTGGTGCCGGCGCGCTGGCCCCGGAGCCCTGGGTGCCCAGCAGGGCCAGCGGGGCCCCGGGGAGGCCGGAGCCCGCGCAGCCGTGTGCTGGCATGGGGTTTCGTGCGGGCATTGGAGGGTCAGGCCTGGTTGGGCG